ACTATCTTCATCAATTCATTTATGCGTTCTTATAATCACTTAATAAATCCTACTTTCTTAATTACTCTGAACTTAATTAATTCTCATTTTTCAACACATGTCAGGTTCCTTTTTCCCAGCCTTAAAAATGCGCACTCCTGTCGAAAAGGGTCTTAATGCATAAATCGATCTCTCTATTTATTGGCCAGGCCATGGCAACGAGAAGTCGCTTTGACGTACCATGGCCTCACTTAAATTGCATTGCATCCCTTTAAGTTCTGATCGGAAACAAAACAACACTATTGTGACTCGATTAGGCATTTAGAAGTAAAAGTTGGTTGAATAGAATCAATGAATTGGCTTCCCCTAAAACCAAGGGACGATAGCCTGGAACAAGTCCTCGACTCACCTTCCTGCGAACTTTTGATGACCATGCGCTAAGCTTTCGTCTGTACCGTCGTGACGGACAACATCAGAACAAGAAGGCATATGTTACAAAATAGCGTATCAATATACTAAAAATTTTCTTTTCCTTTAGACAGTTGTTGCGCTATTTCGTAACGCAGGATATTTCTTGTTTTAAGTGCTGTCTGTCACGTCGGTACAGGTGAAATCCTAGCACAAGTTGATCGGGATCGCGGGACGGTGGGCTGATTACGCCTTGACACGATCCAACAGTCTTTCGATTTCCGGTCAGACCAATTCAGGAATTCTTTCCAACAAACTTTTACTTCAAAAGGCAAAGGGATGCTTTGAAGCCCAGCTTTTTCTTTTTTATAATCAAATACTAGTCCACTAATTGTATTCCTTTTTTGATACTTTTTCCCTCCACCCTTCTGCAGTCCGCACTCGCCAGGACTACCAATGCCATTTGCAGACACATTATCCCTACCGATGCCTCAAATGCGACTACACTTCGCGCACCGAAGGCCGACTGAAGCGACATCTTAAGGATTTCCACTCGAACGTGCCGCCGGATAACTTCTCTGGCAAAGCGATGCGCCCGAGTAAACCGAAACTGCAGAAGTGCAAACAGTGCGACTTTGTTGCACAGACAAAAGTAAGGACCAATCGCACAATCATCATTTACACTTTCTCTTTCTTGGCTGTTGGCAAGACTAAGCTGCACATCATTGCCACAAACCACTACTGATGCACTCAGGATTATCCAACAAATGACAGCAACACACAAGGTTACAGCAGGACAAAGGCGCTTTTTGGATCGCATTGTGTTTCAGGACCCGATAGTCAAACTGCTGATGATCATCATTGAAGATGACAGCACGGAGACACGTTGTACTGCGGAACAAAGGGCAATCGGTTGGCTCAGTATAACTGTCACCAGAACTCGCGAGGGCTTGCGAACTGCAGGCCGCTCTATTTGAGCCTCAGACTTGGCATTACATAGTGGTGCTACAATCACACAAACTAGGCATACTCTTGTCATTGTGGGAAAATTTAATTGGCCAGAAATTATATTCACTATTTACTCATAGACTCGAAGCCTACTTACTATGCATATAAGTAGCCTAGTATATTGTAGTGGCAATCGCCATATTTTATAGAATATGTGGATGGAGAATGGGGTGGTAGGGCGGGGCGCAGTGTCGGGTCAGATACTGTATCAATTAAAGACTCACATTTTTAAACTTATTTTTCGTTTATAAGTAGGTTTTATAGTCTACCAGTAGATTATATCTTTTATTAAATGCATAAT